GGGGGAGAGAGAAATTTTTTAGTACCACAGTCAGTGGCCAGGTTCAAACACCTTTTATTGTACAGCAATAAAAGGAATGGAACAGACTTTCCCACAAATGCAAAGGGCCGTTCATAGTTGAACCAGTTCAAGGGAAAACTGCCCCCCAAAAATGTTGTTTAATAAACAACAGAAAAAGGGAAAGGGGGAAGTTTTTTTATTTTTTAGCTAAAAAACGTGTAAAATTTTACCTTATCCCTAGTAAGGGCCCCCGTATTGTAAAATAGTCGTAAAAGACCCTCGGGTTGTTGAATAGTTTAAAAGGGCCCTCGTTTTTGTAGAGTCTTAATGGGCCCTCGTTTTAGTTGATAAAATTTTTTTTTAGTATGATAATAAAATGTTATTTTTCATTTTTAGAATAATAAGAAAAAATTATAAACCCTTTTTATTATAATAATAAGGAAAAGGGGCCCCCCAAAGGAAATAAGTCACTTTTTGTCTGAATTTTTTTGGGGTTTTCCCGGTTTCCTTAAAATATGCGCTATGAAAGATAATTCTATGTAACTGAATTTTGTTTTACCTGGGAAAAAATTTACTTTCTTACTTACTTTTCTTATTATCCTGGGGCAAAAAAATGAATTTAAATTTTCCAGAAGTGCTCTGCACAAGCGGCTTTTTTATATAGTAATATATCATGATGTCAGCTAGACCGTGACAAAATAACGATGAGAGAACGGAAAGCCAGATCTTTTTAGCAAGGAGAAAAAGTGTGGTGCTACGGACACATCCCTGAGGGACACCCTCAGCTTGGACAAAGTCCAGGGAAAGCAAATTAACACGAAAAAGAAAATGTCTCTCAGGTAAGAAGATTTTAAGGAAAAATGGCAGATTGACTTGGAAGCCTAAGGAATGAACTTGGGCCAAGATGTTTGTGGCATGCAAAGAGTACGTAACCTTTATTCGGCGCATGGACACACCCTCATTTACAGGCTATCTCCCCCAACCAGCGAACCAGGTTGCTAAGAGTTGATGATGGGGCCCCATCGTTCAACTAGTGACCAGGTTCTAGCCAATAAGAAGGTGGGATTGACAATCGCAGAGGTTATGTGGATACCGCTCTCCTGTCTGCCCTTGTCATTCCCATTCTAGAGCTGGTTGAAGCACGGTCTGCTATCTTGTGGCTTCTATTTCTGCCTTGCTTTCCGTGGAGTGCACTATATTTATCACTGTACATAGTGTACATATTGCTGTTATAATTGGTGAAGGATAATATAAGTCTAAACTTTTTCTACTGTGTTTATTTGCTCCCATTACACCTGGGATAACAGGCCATTTGAAATCCTAGGTTGTAATAATGTTAAATCTCCAAGTAGAGTCATATGCCTTTTCAAGATAAAAAAAAGACTGCCATAACTGAGCGGTTACCAGCAACCTGCCCAAAATTCTCCACCTTATATATATAATATCTTTATTTACTACAAGTACATGTACAAGGTATACAGGTCTAGCTGACATCAATGACATACTACTATATAGAAAGCCGCTTGTTATGCTGAGCATTTCTGGCAAATTAGGTTAGTGTCCCTGGATGCGACCCACACCATTCGACTAACACCCAGGTACCCAGTTTACTGATGGCTGAACATAGACAACAGGTGTAAAGAAACACCCAATGTTTCTACCCTAGCTGGGAATCGAACCTCGCTGCGTGAAGCGAGAGCTTCACGCAGCGAGGTAAGCCATGACTCGATTCATGAGAGCACTTTTCCCCTAATGCCATGAGCTGCCACTTTCTTTAAGTCTCTGGCGCGGTACTCTATCAAAACCCTTACTAAAATCCAAATAAATAATATCGAATTCTTTATCGTGATCAACAGCCTCAAAAGCTTTACTGAAGAGTAAGTAAATTAGTTGGACAGGAACGGCCCATCGTGAATCCATGCTGAATATCAAATTATGCTTGTCAAGATGGTTTCTAATGAACATCAAAATGGTATACAATACCGACAGGTTGGTAGGTTTCTAATAATATCAGCCATAACTGACTCTAGTAATTTGCCTACACTTGAGGTCAGGCTTATTGGGCGGTGATATGAGGGTAACAACTTGTCCCCTATTTTAAAAATAAGAATTACGTTAGCCATCTTCCACACATTAGACACAATGCCTGTTTAAAGAGATATATAAAAAAGTTAATGTTTCACAAAATACTTCTTTGCACACCTTAGGTCCTGGGGATATATTTTAGTTCAGTTGGTTTACCTGTTTGATAAGCATATCCCTAGTGACTGATATTACATAATTTATCTTCTTCAGGCCCACCATAAAAATTAATGTCTGGGACATTGTTAGTGTTTTCCTGTGTAGAAGCCGAGAGGAAATAATTATTAAAAATCCAGTACGTTTTATTCTCCTTATCAGTAAGACGCCCAGGGTTATTTTTAAGGGGATCTATCTTTTATCCAATATATGTACCTTAAAAAAACCTTTTGGGTTCCTTTTTTGAATAATTCATCAATTTAATTTCATAGTCCCGTTTATCTTTTCCTATCCCCCTTTTTTTAAGCTCCCCCTTGATGTGTGTACCTATATTGATCTATGAGATGGCTCTCACCTCTTTTGACATGCTTATAAATTCCTTTCTTCTCCCCTAAAATACATTTGAGCCTGTTGTTCATGCATTTCGGATCATTTCTATTCGATCTCATTTCTCTAAGCGGAATACAGTGTTTAGAAAAACTGTCATATTCATAGTTCTTTTCGTTACCCCAGTCCACAGATGTTAGGTGATCTCTCAGCCTGTTGCAATCTGCTAAGCGAAAATCTGGGACTATCACTGAATTATCCCTACTGTCAGGGCCTTTAACTGATAAAATCCCTGGTGGACGAAACGTCTTTACAATAAAATTCGACAGCCCTCAATACTTACTTCCTCTCAATTTTTACCCAGGAAAATACTAGTGAAATTCCAGAAATAATAGATTATGTAGAACAGGATGATAATAAACTATGTACGATTGCGGTAACTAGTGACATGGTCCTCAGACAAATAGAGAAACTAAAAGCTAACAAATCCCCAGGACCTGATGACCTGTTTACAAGGGTGTTAAAGTTATGTAAAGAGGAACTTAGCATACCTTTGGCTAATCTTTTTAACATATCACTACAAACTGCCATAGTCTGTAGATGAATGGTTCAGAGAACCGACATGTTGATAAATTAGACACATGTGCAACTCTTGGGTATCTTTATTGAGGAAACGTTTCGCCACACAGTGGCTTCATCTGATGAAGCCACTGTGTGGCGAAACGTTTCCTCAATAAAGATACCCAAGAATTGCACATGTGTCTAATTTATCAAACTGGCATAGTGCCTGATAAGTGGAAAATGGCAAATGTAATACCTATTTACAAGGTAGGCGACAGGTCCTTGGCTTCGAACTATAGACCAATAAGCCTTACCTCCATAGTGGGAAAATTTATGGAATCAATAATTGCCGAAGCAATTCGTAGCCATCTTGAAAGGCATAAATTGATTAATGAATCTCAGCACGGCTTTACAAAGGGGCGTTCCTGTCTTACAAATTTACTAACTTTCTTCACTAAGGTGTTTGAGGAGGTAGATCATGGTAGTGAATATGAGTTTGTGTATATGGACTTCAGTAAGGCTTTCGGTAGAGTTCCACACCATAGACTATTGAGAAAACTTAAGGCACACAGAATAGGAGGAGAATTTTTTTTCCTGGGTAGAGGCATGGTTGACAAATAGACAGCAGAAATTTTTCATAAATGGGGAGAAATCAGAATGGGGGCACGTCACAAGCGGTGTTCCTCAGGGGTCAGTGTTGGGCCCCTTGTTGTTCACAATTTACATAAACGACATAGATGAGGTAATAAATAGCGACATAAACAAATTTGCTGATGACACCAAAATAGGCCGTTCAATTCATTCTAATGAGGACACTAGAGCACTCCAGGATGATTTGAATAGACTGATGCAGTGGTCGAAGATGTGGCAGATGCGGTTTAATATTGACAAATGCAAAGTTCTAAATGTTGGACAGGAAAATAACCATGCCACAAAGAAACTAAATAATGTAGATTTTAATATTACGGATTGCGAAAAAGATTTAAGAGTTCTGGTTAGCAGTAATCTAAAACCAAGACAACAGTGCATTAGTGTTCGCAATAAAGCTAACAGAATTCTTGGCTTCATATCAAGAAGCATAAATAATAGAAATCCCCAGGTTGTTCTCCAACTCTATACAGGGTATCTTTGGTTAGGCCTCATTTAGATTATGCTGCACAGTTTTGGTCACCATATTACAGAATGGATATAAATGCACTGGAAAACGTACAGAGGAGGATGACAAAGTTGATCCCATGTATCAGAAATGTTCCCTATGAGGATAGACTGAGGGCCCTGAATCTGCAAACTCTAGAAAGGCGTAGAATTAGGGGTTATATGATTGAGGTGTATAAATGGAAATATCTAGCCTAGACAGGACTCGCAGCAGTGGTTTTAAATTGGAAAAATTCAGATTCAGGAAGGATATAGGAAAGCTCTGGATGAGTGGAACAAACTCCCGAGTACCGTCATAGACGCTAAGACGTTGTTTAGTTTTAAAAATGGGTTGGATAAATACATGAGTGGGTGTGGGTAGGTGTGAATTGGACCTGACTAGCTTGTGCTGCTAGGTCGGATACCGTGCTCCTCCCTTAAGTGACGTGCTTGACCTCACTAGGTCAAGGAATTGGCTTAAACCGGTGGGGGAATTGAACCTGCCTCGCATAGGCCAGTAGGCCTGTTGCAACGTTCCTTCTTTTTCATGTTCTTGTCTTATATACATAAGATGATTTACGTAAAAATGACACGTATTTAGTAACCAATGGCTTCAGCAGTCGACTGGATTGATATTGCCACTTGTTAGCGGTATTTTTCAATAATATGTCCCAGTTAACACACATGTGTGTGTTTCTTACATAGTTGCCCGTGTTAATCACTACTTGTCACCTCATTACCTGGATCATCGTGCGTGCGAGGCCTCGACCAGTGTAGTCAGGATGGACACACACAAACTCCAAGCATAAGTAACTTGTAATACTTTCCAACTTGGCAGCATCAACATTAATCATGGCCAGGACGCTGTGTACAACACACTGCTGCTTCCTCTGAGTAATGTTTTCTTATTAGTATTTTATACTTATCTTACACAATAGAGCTTAAACAAGAGATTGTAAACAAAAGATGTTATATGAGATATCTTAAACACAGTTTTTATGACATTGTTTTAAGAATTTACGTGCATCTAAGATTAACTCAGGGACACTAAAGTGTTTAGAAATTTGTAAATTGTTAAAAATGTCTCACAATTCCTTTACCAATTTATGCGAATCATTTTTGCGCAGTCGATCCACCTTTTTTGTGGCTAACAAGATGGCCACCAACTTCTTCGTCTTCTTCTCCCTGGCACCGACAGACAGACCAGAATCCAAAGTCAATTTCATTATTACATCAAGAGACTCGCCGTAGCACGCTGGAGTCGTTTCTTTGGCCACTATGCACTGTAAATGGCTTACGTAAGTTCGGTTGAAATAGAAGATGAATAAATGCATATTTTAGTAAACAACGTTGAATTTTTATCAGAGTATTTTGTTAAGTAAACATTTATATTGTTAGATATGTACTGTAGTGGTGTAAATACTGGAAGAAAGGGCATTAGTCGACTTACAAGAGGGTTCCTCTTGAGAAAGTGATGTTCCATCAGTTGAGACACTTCTTCAAAGTCACCAGGAGTCAACATCACCAACTCTGTGTTTTCTAAATCACCAGCCATGTTAAGTTTGCTCAGTGGTACGTCACTCTCTCTGTTACAGTAATACAATAATCTCTTTATAATATATATATATATATATATATAATATATATATATATATATATATATATATTATATATATAATATATATATATATAATTTGTATATATATCAAATATATATATATATATATATATATATATATATATATATATATATATATATATATATATATATATATAAATATATATATATATAATATATATATATATATATATATATATATATATATATATATATATATATATATATATATATATATATATATATATATATATATATATAAATCACACAGAGACTGAAACACGAGTAATTAAAACTTGATACACCACACTATGTGGCGACGTTGATACACCACACTATGTGGCGACCTTGATACACCACTATGTGGCGACCTTGATACACCACACTGTGGCAACCTTGATACACCACACTATGTAGCGACCTTGATAAACCACACTGGCGACCTTGATACACCGCACTGTGTGGCGACCTTGATACACCGCACTGTGGCGACCTTGATACACCACACTATGTAGCGACCTTGATACACCACACTATGTGGAGACCTTGATATACCAAACTGTGGCGACCTTGATACACCACACTGTGGCAATCTTGATACACCACACTGTGGCGACCTTGATACACCACACTGTGTGACGACCTTGATACACCACACCATGTGGCGACCTTGATACATCACACTGTGGCGACCTTGATACACCACACTGTGGCGACCTTGATACAGCACACTATGTGGCGACCTAGATACACCACACTGTGGCGACCTTGATACACCACACTGTGTGGCGACCTTGGTGCACCACACTGTGTGGCGACCTTGATACACCACACTGTGGCGACCTTGATACACCACACTGTGGCGACCTTGATACACCACACTGCTTGGCGACCTTGATACACCACACTGTGGCGACCTTGATACACCGCACTATGTGGCGACCTTGATACACCACACTGTGGCGACCTTGATATACCACACTGTATGGCGACCTTGATACACCACACTGCGGCGACCTTGATACACCGCACTATGTGGCGACCTTGATACACCACACTGAGGCGACCTTTATACACCACACTGTGTGGCGACCTTGATACACCACTGTGGCGACCTTGATACACCACACAATGTGGCGACCTTGATACACCACACTATGTGGCGGCTTTGATACACCACACTATGTGGTGACCTTGACACACCGCACTATGTGGCGACCTTGATACACCACACTATGTTGCGACCTTGATACATCGCACTGTGTGGAGACCTTTATACACCACACTGTGGCGACCTTGATACACCACACTATGTGGCGACCTTGATACACCGCACTGTGGCGACCTTGATACACCACACTGGCGACCTTGATACACCACACTATGTGGCGACGTTGATACGCCACACTATGTGACGACCTTGATACACCGCATTATGTGGCGACCTTGATACACCACGCTGTGGTGACCTTGATACACCACACTATGTGGCGACCTTGATACACCACACTATGTGGCGACTTTGATACACCGCACTGAGTGGCGACCTTGATACACCGCACTGTGTAGCGACCTTGATACACCACGTTGTGTGGCGACCTTGATACACCACACTGTGTGGTGACCTTGATACACCACACTGTGTGGTGACCTTGATACACCACAATGTGTGGTGACCTTGGTACACCACACTGTGTGGTGACCTTGGTACACCACACTGTGGCGATCTTGATGCACCGCACAGTGTGGTGACCTTGATACACCACACTGTGTAGCGACCTTGACACACCACATTGTGTGAAGACCTTGATGTACCGCACTGTGTGGCGACCTTGGTACACCACACTGTGTAGCGACCTTGATACACCACATTGTGTGGCGACCTTGATGTACCGCACTGTGTGGCGACCTTGATACACCGCACTGTGTAGCGACCCTGATACACCACATTGTGTGGCGACCTTGATACACCACACTGTGTGGTGATCTTGATACACCACACTGTGGTGACCTTGATACACCACACTGTGTGGCGACCTTGGTACACCACACTGTGTGGTGACCTTGATACAGCGCACTGTGTGGCGACCTTGATACACCACACTATGTAGCGACCTTGATACACCACACTTTGTGGTGGCCTTGATACACCACAGTGTGGTGACCTTGGTACACCACACTGTGTAGCGACCTTGATACACCATACTGTGTAGCGACCTTGATACACCACATTGTGTGGCGACCTTGATACACCACACTGTGGTGACTTTGATACACCACACTATGTGGCGACCTTGATGTACTACACTGTGGCGACCTTGATACACCACACTGTGTGGTGACCTTGATACACTACACTGTAACGACCTTGATACACCACACTGTAGCGACCTTGATACACCACACTGTGTGGAGACCTTGATACGCCACACTGTGGTGACCTTGATACACCACACTGTGTGGTGACCTTGGTACACCACACTGTGTAGCGACCTTGATACACCACACTGTGTGGCGACCTTGATACACCACACTGTGTGGTGACCTTGGTACACCACACTGTAGCGACCTTGATACACCACACTGTGTAGCGACCTTGATACATCACACTGTGTAGCGACCTTGATACACCACACTGTGTAGCGACCTTGATACATCACACTGTGTAGCGACCTTGATACACTACAGTGTGGCGACCTTTATACACCACACTGTGTAGCGACCTTGATACACCACACTGTGTGGCGACCTTGATACACCACACTGTGGTGACTGTACACCACCTGTGGTGACTTTGGTACACCACACTGTAGCGACCTTGATACACCACACTGTGTGATGACCTTGATACACCACACAGTGTAGCGACCTTGATACACCACACTGTGGCGACCTTGATATATGTAACATATTTACAAACTCACATATAGCAAGATAACTGTTATCTATGTGATAGTCACAGCTAACACAACCTGGCTTGCTCTCAGCACCCCTCAAGGGAGGGGTGCTGAGACCGGATGCTGGTGAAGGGCTCTCGATCTAGGGATTTGGAACTGTAGTCCACTTCCCTGAATACCTTTCACCCCTCCTACAGGAGCTGCACATTCCCTATGGGTTTAGCGCTACCCAGGATAATAATTTAACTCAGCAGAAGAGCGCAGCCGCAGTGTGCGAACATAGAAAGTTATTCCTGCGCTACAAATGGCAAGACTTTATTTACAATGTCACGGATATAGTGCATAATTTTTTAATATGTTGGGTAGGCTAGTTGATGCTTCTCTACTAATACGTCATTATCTGATAGAGACACTTGAAATATTTTCCTGACGATCTAACACAATAATATTTTTTAATAATATACAGACTGCTGGCGGGTTACTTACAGAGTAATGTTGATAGTGTCGTCCCTCCTCTGGTGTCTGGGAGTGACTACTGTGTGTGTCACCTGATGCCCCTACTTCAACTCCTCTAGTAAAGAAGACATTCCAGCTGTGTCAGGATGGCACAGAGGCGATGCTTTTATGAATATTTGTAATATAGGCGATGACAAGAATATTAATTAATGATTAGGAGAACTAAGTGTGAAAGAGGTTACCTGAGTCATGATAAAAATATTGCTAGATGGATCAAGTGCCCAGCCTTGAGTCTGCCTGGGTCCTGGTGACAGTATGCTAGGTGTCGCTAGTGCCCAGCCTTGAGTCTGCCTGGGTCCTGGTGACAGTATGCTAGGTGTCGCTAGTGCCCAGCCTTGAGTCTGCCTGGGTCCTGGTGACAGTATGCTAGGTGTCGCTAGTGCCCAGCCTTGAGTCTGCCTGGGTCCTGGTGACAGTATGCTAGGTGTCGCTAGTGCCCAGCCTTGAGTCTGCCTGGGTCCTGGTGACAGTATGCTAGGTGTCGCTAGTGCCCAGCCTTGAGTCTGCCTGGGTCCTGGTGACAGTATGCTAGGTGTCGCTAGTGCCCAGCCTTGAGTCTGCCTGGGTCCTGGTGACAGTATGCTAGGTGTCGCTAGTGCCCAGCCTTGAGTCTGCCTGGGTCCTGGTGACAGTATGCTAGGTGTCGCTAGTGCCCAGCCTTGAGTCTGCCTGGGTCCTGGTGACAGTATGCTAGGTGTCGGTAGTGCCCAGCCTTGAGTCTGCCTGGGTCCTGGTGACAGTATGCTAGGTGTCGCTAGTGCCCAGCCTTGAGTCTGCCTGGGTCCTGGTGACAGTATGCTAGGTGTCGCTAGTGCCCAGCCTTGAGTCTGCCTGGGTCCTGGTGACAGTATGCTAGGTGTCGCTAGTGCCCAGCCTTGAGTCTGCCTGGGTCCTGGTGACAGTATGCTAGGTGTCGCTAGTGACCAGCCTTGAGTCTGCCTGGGTCCTGGTGACAGTATGCTAGGTGTCGCTAGTGCCCAGCCTTGAGTCTGCCTGGGTCCTGGTGACAGTATGCTAGGTGTCGCTAGTGCCCAGCCTTGAGTCTGCCTGGGTCCTGGTGACAGTATGCTAGGTGTCGCTAGTGCCCAGCCTTGAGTCTGCCTGGGTCCTGGTGACAGTATGCTAGGTGTCGCTAGTGCCCAGCCTTGAGTCTGCCTGGGTCCTGGAGTTTACCTGGAGTTTACCTGGAGAGAGTTCCGGGGGTCAACGCCCCCGCGGCCCGGTCTGTGACCAGGCCTCATGGTGGATCAGAGCCTGATCAACCAGGCTGTTGCTGCTGGCTGCACGCAAACCAACGTACGAGCCACAGCCCGGCTGGTCAGGAACCGACTTTAGGTGCTTGTCCAGTGCCAGCTTGAAGACTGCCATGGGTCTGTTGGTAATCCTCCTTATGTATGCTGGGAGGCAGTTGAACAGTCTCGGGCCCCTGACACTTATTGTATGGTCTTTTAACGTGCTGTGACACCCCTGCTATTCATTGGGGGGATGTTACATCGTCTGCCAAGTCTTTTGCTTTCGTAGTGAGTGATTTTCGTGTGCAAGTTCGGTACTAGTCCCTCTAGGATTTTCCAGATGTATATAATCATGTATCTCTCCCGCCTGCGTTCCAGGGAATACAGGTTTAGGAACCTCAAGCGCTCCCAGTAATTGAGGTGTTTTATCTCCGTTATGCGCACCGTGAAGGTTCTCTGTACATTTTCTAGGTCAGCAATTTCACCTGCCTTGAAAGGTGCTGTTAGTGTGCAGCAATATTCCAGCCTAGATAGAACAAGTGACCTGAAGAGTGTCATCATGGGCTTGGCCTACCTAGTTTTGAAGGTTCTCATTATCCATCCTGTCATTTTTCTAGCAGATGTGATTGATACAATGTTATGGTCTTGGAAGGTGAGATCCTCCGACATGATCACTCCCAGGTCTTTGACGTTGGTGTTTCGCTCTATTTTGTGGCCAGAATTTGTTTTGTACTCTGATGAAGATTTAATTTCCTCGTGTTTACCATATCTGAGTAATTGAAATTTCTCATCGTTGAACTTCATATTGTTTTCTGCAGCCCACTGAAAGATTTGGTTGATGTCCGCCTGGAGCCTTGCAGTGTCTGCAATGGAAGACACTGTCATGCAGATTCGGGTGTCATCTGCAAAGGAAGACACGGTGCTGTGGCTGACATCCTTGTCTATGTCGGATATGAGGATGAGGAACAAGATGGGAGCGAGTACTGTGCCTTGTGGAACAGAGCTTTTCACCGTAGCTGCCTCGGACTTTACTCTGTTGACGACTACTCTCTGTGTTCTGTTAGTGAGGAAATTATAGATCCATCGACAGACTTTCCCTGTTATTCCTTTAGCACGCATTTTGCGCGCTATTACGCCATGGTCACACTTGTCGAAGGCTTTTGCAAAGTCTGTATATATTACATCTGCATTCTTTTTATCTTCTAGTGCATTTAGGACCTTGTCGTAGTGATCCAATACTTGAGACAGACAGGAGCGACTGTTCTAAACCCATGTTGCCCTGGGTTGTGTAACTGATGGGTTTCTAGATGGGTGGTGATCTTGCTTCTTAGGACCCTTTCAAAGATTTTATGATATGGGATGTTAGTGCTATTGGTCTGTAGTTCTTTGCTGTTGCTTTACTGCCCCCTTTGTGGAGTGGGACTATGTCTGTTGTTTTTAGCAACTGTGGGACGACCCCCGTGTCCATGCTCTCTCTCCATAGGATGGAAAAGGCTCGTGAAAGGGGCTTCTTGCAGTTCTCGATGAACACAGAGTTCCATGAGTCTGGCCCTGGGGCAGAGTGCATGGCGACAGTATGCTAGGTGTCGCTAGTGCCCAGCCTTGAGTCTGCCTGGGTCCTGGTGACAGTATGCTAGGTGTCGCTAGTGCCCAGCCTTGAGTCTGCCTGGGTCCTGGTGACGGTTTGCTAGGTGTTGCTAGGGCCCAGCCTTGATTCTACCTGGGTCCTGGTGACGGTTTGCTAGGTGTCGCTAGTGCCCAGCCTTGATTCTACCTGGGTCCTGGTGGCGGTTTGCTAGGTGTCGCTAGTGCCCAGCCTTGATTCTACCTGGGTGATGGTGACGGTTTGCTAGGTGTCGCTAGTGCCCAGCCTTGATTCTACCTGGGTCCTGGTGACGGTTTGCTAGGTGTCGCTAGTGCCCAGCCTTGATTCTACCTGGGTCCTGGTGATGGTTTGCTAGGTGTCGCTAGTGCCCAGCCTTGATTCTTCCTGGGTCCTGGTGACGGTTTGCTAGGTGTCGCTAGTGCCCAGCCTTGATTCTACCTGGGTCCTGGTGACGGTTTGCTAGGTGTCGCTAGTGCCCAGCCTTGATTCTACCTGGGTCCTGCTGACGGTTTGCTAGGTATCGCTAGTGCCCAGCCTTGATTCTACCCGGGTCCTGGTGACGGTTTGCTAGGTGTCGCTGGTGCCCAGCCTTGATTCTACCTGGTCCTGGTGACAGCTTGCTAGGTGTCGCTAGTGCCCAGCCTTGATTCTACCTGGTCCTGGTGACGGTTTGCTAGGTGTCGCTAGTGCCCAGCATTGAGTCTACTGGGTCTTGGTGAGGGTTTGGTAGGTGTCGCTAGTGCCCAGCTTTGAGTCTACCTGTGTCCTGGTGAGGGTTTGCTAGGTGTCGCTAGTGCCCACCCTTGAGTCTACTGGGTCCTGGTGTCGGTTTGCTAGGTATCGCTAGTGCCCGGCTGTTGAGAAATGTGTGTTACAAGCTAAGTCAAAGATTAAATCGTGGACTACAGGGGGAACTTAGCATGATAGACAGTTTTCGCCTGCACAGCCATCCCTGCAGGCGATGTCTTGAGAAGCTGTCGCATCCATTTCTCAACTTTCTGGGGTAAAAAATTTGTTATGGGTATAAATTACCCCTAGGGGGTATTATGTCAGCATATCTCATAAACTGATTGCTGACAACACTTACTGTTGTAGGCTCGATGGTATGTATTTCATCGGGTATTGGTATGCTAATGAACACAACATATCCGCTGCGCAGCCGACCTACTGCTGTTATGTTCATTAAACGTACCTGGGTATTTGTAGCTGACTCGTAGTTGCACCCGGATATCCGTCGTCTTGATTGAAGAATAGTGTTCTTTGAAGAATGTCGCACTACACTCTGTTGGATCGCAACACTCGTTGTTACACTGTTCATCAAGATTTGTTTATTCACAATCTTATCACTAAAGAAGCTGATCTCTCTTCTTTGTAAGTGTTATTGTGTTTTGTGAGACACTTTTATACACACTAACATGCAGATCAGTGTTCAGTGTTGGTTATCATGGCGTCAGTGTTAGTCCCAGCAGGGTCAAAGGCAATCTTACCTCACAGCCTCCTACGCCACCGCAATGCCCCTAGCACATACAGGAAAAGCTGACCTAGTACATTTCACTTCCTTGCCAAACTTCCACCAGGAAGCAAAGCAGAATGCTTGATTTTTGCTGTTGTAAGCTTAGACAACAATGTACATTATGGTTACCATGGTAATAAATTGGGAGCAGGATTTCTTCAATTGTTCTGCTAAGGTAAGAGATGGACTGTCTCATATTAAATTAAACTACTTGCAACATCGATCTCTAGTGCCCAGCGTTGAGTCTACCTGGGTCCTGGAGACGGTTTGCTAGGTGTCGCTAGTGCCCAGCCTTGATTCTACGTGGATCCAGGTGACGGTTTGCTAGGTGTCGCTGAGTGTACTTATATTCTGATGTCTCATGCCTGGTGAAGGTGATTGAAGTTAAGTCGCAATGTACACTCAGACATATACTGTTACGAGATGTATTACGTATTTCATCACTCTGGTAATACTACCACGTTAGTAACTTTGTTATTAGCTAAAACGAAGCTACTGGACCGTTGTACCATTATCATATTCATCCCTCATCATGTTTGTGTTATTTGATTATTAAAGACATGAATATATACATTTACATGTCTGGTTATGAGCTCATTTATATATAAGAGTAGATAATTATCATTGGACAGTTCAAGAGTATGGATGGTGAGTGACGTCACAAGTTGGCGACCTGAC